ACCAGTGCAATAGTTGACACTTTCCATTTTCCACTGGTGCAATACCTCCCTCCATACCACTTCCTTGTTGAGACTACAAATTCACATTAAAATAAAGTCTATTTTTAAAACTAGTATGATATAATCTAAATTTATATTGATAAAATAATATACAATACAAAAACCTGTGGAGTAAAAGCACGTGAACTCATATCCTCTACATTCTTATTTTGATTCTGCAAAATAATATAAAAAACATTAAACTTATTGAAATGTTAAGATATATTAAGTTACGGTATCATATTCTATGTAATAGCAAAAGTATAACCTGGGATAACTTCAGAAGTGCTTCAACCTTTTCTTCGAGTGCTTCCATCCTTACTGATTGAGTTTGTAATTTTCTCTCAAGGTCTCTCACTTTCTCACTGCTTTGTGTATTTCCATCTATTTTTGATGGTGTAACCCCAAGTCCAAGTCCCCTTACTCGTCATGATGCTCGGGACCTAAAATTCGAGCAACAGCATCATCTCGAATAGAATTTTCGGCTAGTGTATCAGAAATTGACTCGGCACAATCTTTTATCATCTGCACTTATGAAACTTAAATATTACACTAGATCTACACACACACTCTCTGGTGTGTGTGTGTGTGTGTGTGTGTGTGTGTGTGTGTGTGTATATATATATACACACATATACATATACACACACACTTACAATACACGTACCAAAGTTTCAGCAACCGCCTCATTTATTGGATTTCTATCCTTTCGAAGATGTCCATGAGTCCATACTGTCGTTCTCAATCCTGTTATATTTGGATTCTTTCTTTTCTACAATAACAATATTGAACTCAATCACAGACACGTATATGAAATCAATAAAGACACATATCAAAAATAAAGAAAGATAGTTCTTGTACCAAATCGTGAGCCATACGTGAATAACCCTTCCGACCCATAGTCTGGAGAAGCTTCTAACTACTTCTCATTTTGCTGAACTTTGAACTTTTTTCCTGTCAAGGAAAACAATATAAACCAACAATAATTGACTACAAAGTTTAAAGTTCATACGAAAATATAACTTA